TTGCTGATGTCCAGAGCAACTCCGTCTTCTTGCCATTCTTACTTAAAATGATTTTGCATTCAGAAATTCGGGACTTAAATTTAATACGGATTTGATGCACGAGAAAATAGTGCATATTGGACGTGAAGAAGGGAGCAAGTTGCACGTGGGGAAAAAAACGCGCCTGATTTAAATGTCACACCTGAACGCTCACATCCTTTTAATTATGTTTGAAATTATGAACATTGCTCAACATCGTGAAAATTAAACCTTATTTTCAATAAGCAACTCTGAAAAATATTTGGGGGTGCTTAACTTTTTTCCAGGTGTATAGATATAACAGTTCATTTAATGACCACAGAAAATATAATGAAATGAGATGTGAAAAAAAGGGATTAAACGTCTTAGCTGTACTGACTTTCTGCTACTTTCAGTTAATAGCAAAACTATAGAAACAGACATCAACTTAAAAGAAATGGGATGAGCAAAACTTTTGGGAAGGTACTTTTTACATTTGAATCCACTTTTTTGACAATAATCATGACAGATTGTTTGTTTGATTAGACTAGCTGCTGACAGGTACAAGCAGATTCTTATCCATCATGTCATTTTATCAGGAACAAGACCTGACTAGAAAAATGGTAATCCCAAGCATAATGTTTGGTGAAAGGAGGGAAAAATAGGCTGTGAAACACGCACAACCATAGGTTGACTTGCACAATGTCCCAGTGTGAATGTTATTAATTTTGTGTAGTAATACAGAACAATTGTAACAACATTTTACAATCATACAATGACAAGCATACAGTAACATAAAAATAAAATGTAACAGTTTGTTTAACTCTTTCAGTATGGGCTCGGTGCTTGTTATAGTTTTCATGCTATAACTTTTAAATTATTAACCCATTAGCTGCAGCAGGAGCAGCTCAGTTGTCGTTTTCTGTGCGACTGACGGAAATATCCGTCATCCGCAGTTAATGGGTTAAGCAAATATTAACGAAATTTGGCAGATTATCAGTAAACATTACAATGCTTTCACACACAAAATATCAAATTTTTTTTTACTAAGCCTTAAGGTTTGTAAAGCAATATGTTTTTCTCGTGCTTTTTTTCGCATGCTGCCTATCTATCATGCAAAGTAATGATTTTAAGATTAAAAGTACTTTTATGCATCAGAAAATTTTGAAATTTCAAATGCAAAATATTTATAATGCCCAGATAGTTATCAAACATTTCTTAAGAAAAAACTTTATATTTTATTTGTTATTTTCAGTAGTTAATCTGTGTACGGGTTCAGTAGATTTGACCGATCTCGCAACTACCATAAAAAAAACTAGGAAATAAATATAAATTATGCCTCTTTCATTCTAAAATAAACACAAATTATAACACAAAAACATAAATGTTTTGACTAAATAGCTTAAATCTCGTAACATTATGCATTTATATATATTTATTATTTTTATTATATTGACCTTTCAGCAGTGCTTGGCTAACAATACAGAAGTAACAATGATGCGGCTCACGTGCACTCTTGTTACCGTATCAAATAACATAAAACTGACCTTTGGTCTGTACAAAGTAACTTGTCTTAGCTTTGTTTTAGTAGACTAGTATTTTGTAAAATGCAGTCACATTTCAATTATTATAAAATACATGTGTATATAGATTATTGCTATTTTGAAATAAGTTCTTAAACTTATTTTTCTTAAAACATAGAACAGTAACTAAAGAAGTAAATCAATTATCTCTTCTAGTTATGGCCTTTGTACTCAGTTGCTGCTTGACATAGGTTGTGCATAGAGGATATGAAACACACTATTTTTTTTAGGTTATATATATATATATACATTTAAATAACTAAAGAATCATAAATTACTACATCAATACCATAGCATTCCACTATAACTTATCAAGCTCAGTAACTAAGATGTATTTTAGTCTAAAAAATATGAAATTTCAAGCAGACTAAAGAAACACCCTACCTCGTTGAAATATTGGTTCAAAAGAAAGAAATAACACCAAGCCAGTTAAAATGGCTGAGAAAGGCACTGGAGGGACCTTCTGAGCTTCCAATTGGTTATTCTTGTCATATATAGAAGTGAGTATATATATATATAAGGGAGCATTTCCAAAAATGGAAAGAGGTGGGCGGGGTGCTACTGTGTTTGATTTATCACACGAGCAATATCTTATCAAACTGAAAAGATAAGAGGCTCTTATTTTATATTCTAGCTTCTCAATATTGGTAATTTGAGTTTCTAATTCGTACGAAACTATTAGACTGTATTTTGACTGCACAAACATCTAATTTGAACCAGTGCTGCATTCAACATACAACGTGACACACACAAAAATCGATGTTTATCTGTGTTTTTTTTATATTTACTTTTAAATTAAGAAATTGAGTAATATATAGTACTAAAATTTGAATTATAATCTACAGTTGGATACCAAAGTTATAGACATAAATTCATGAAATAGTAGTTCAATAAAATTTTGAATGGGAGTGAACAAATGAGTTGACATGGCCTTTCACCTGTGACCTGTCACGAAAGGGTTAAAACAAGTACAAAATACTTGTGCATTATACAACTTATTTGCTTTTACTTTGTATTTTCTGCTGTAATGCTATGAACTAACAGAAATTTGGAGATGAAGTTACAATTATCCAAAGTATGTGGCTTCTATATGTGTATCATAATTTTCATATTTATTTAAAATACTAGACACACACACACACATATATATATAATTTATTTATGTTATTTCAGAAAGTTGCTGTTAGAAAGAATGTTACTGTGCCTCTCAACAATTTACTTACAGCCTATCATGGACCAAATAATCTGATTCAAAAGAGAGGAGACAAATATCTAGACTACGAAGCTTGTAACAACCGTTTAGAGCCTAACAAGGATGCAGCAAAACAGCGAATTGTAAGCATTTCAGTTTGTTCTTTTCATTTTGTTAACCATAAGTAAAGTTGTTGAGGGTGTGTAAAGATGTTTTTGGGATGTATGGTAATCTGAAATGTATAACATAAGAAACTGCATGTCATATTCAAACAAATATCATAACAATAATAATAAAAAGCAGAACCAATATAGTATTAGAAATATCTGTCTTAAATATTAGAAAACTATTTCAGTAAATAAACGTTTATCAACTCCTTTTGCCTCTATATAATCAAATAAGGGTTAGGAAATGTTGTAAGATCAAAAAAGTATTTATTTCTATTGTAATTTTTAACTGGTTTTTGTTATTTTAAGCTATGTGCTAATTAGCTGGTGAATCTTAATTCACTTTGAAACAATGTTACAAACACTAATTTGTAGTTTCTTTAAATTCATAAGAAAATGATTTGTTTGAAAAATATTGTGTTAGTTATGCATGCAATTTAATTTACTGGAATATCTATTATTAAAAAAAAGTTAAGAATATCTGGAATATTTAGCTGTATTTAAAGAAGTTACATTTAGGTTTATAATTCATGCAAAATATGCATATATATATATATATATATGCTATTAAGTTTGAGATCGTGGAAGCCTTAAAAAAAGGTACTTGGTATTACTAGCTTCAAGAAGAACTACAAGAAGCAAAGAACAACTACATAGCTCTCAATTCTCAATTACTTGATGAACTTCCTTCCGTGTGTGCTATCAGTAGGGATATCTTTAAGGAGTGTTTGCATAGCTTTCTTCAGGCAAGGAAAACCCTTTTAGGACGAACAGCGAAACAAATGTTATCTCTCACTCAAGTAAGTTTTTAGTAACGTTACTATGAAATTCTAAGGTTTTCATTCAACTTCTAAAATAAGCGATTTAGTTATTATAAACACTTCAATTTTATTCTGGAATTCAAATACGCTTGTAGTCTCAAACCACATGTAGACTATTAAAGCATTTAAAAAGTGTTTTTACAATGTAGAAACCCACAAATAATAACTATTAAATTAGTTAAAACAATATGCATAAAAATGTTTTATTGGTTGTGTGAGATTTATCACTAACTTTTTTGTCTATAAAAATCAGATGGTAATAATGAATAAAATCCTATAACCCAGGTGCTTTCAAAAGGTGGACCTCTCTTCTTCAGGGGCAAACTGGGAATGGTGGTGTAATCAAATAAGTGATATATACAAAGGGAGTTTAGTGATGTCATGAAGATCATCTGGTTTTCCAGGAAATGTTTAGTCTATTTTGTTATGTACTGTTCTAAGTATCTCATTTCTGGTACAGTGAAGCTGATGACGAGAGTGTGTGTGGAAAGGTGTTACAGATATTTTACTTATTGTTTATACATCCTTTAACCCTTTTGCAACGGGTGGGTCTAACTGCATGTCACAGTCTTTTAGCAATTTATTTTTAAGAGTTTAATAAGTAACTATTATTATTACTATTATATCAATAAAATTGGTATCAAAACATAGTTCATATTTCAAATTTTAATATTATGTATGTTTTAATTTCTTAATATAAAAGGAAATATATATATATATATATATATATAAAGAAAGCTAAATATCAATTTGTGTGTGTCACATAGCACCTCCTCATGTCTTGTTGCTCTGTTTATATATTTTTTATTCCTACTATATATATGTCTACAATTGATTAACGAATTAGATATATGAAGTTTGGATACTTGCAAGCTAGAATATAAACTTAGAATCTCCCACCAATTTGATTTGCTGAGAAATCAATATATGTAGCAAATCAACTAGACTTGCACTTCCTCCTACTCCATGTTTTCCAAACCTCTTGTTTAATTTCACCTACTTTTCTTAAGGATGTATTTATAACCAATAGAAAGGACAGGTTGTGCTTCACATGATTTATGTAAAGAGCCTGGAAGAGAAAATAATAATTATGTCAAGACTGTTGAATGGTGGTGACCAAGTTGTTACTCTGAACGGATATTAATTTTTTTTGACACGTACATATTTTATTTATAAACTTCAGCAAGTTACAGATGTTTTGGGTGTACTAGTAAAAAGTGTATATTTGAAGCCTACAAAAATTATATTCCTTCACTCTCCACTCAAAAATAACGAGGCTTAGCAAATGCATACGAGGGCAAAATATATTCCTATCACCATAACTTCTCATAAGTACTAGAAATCATTGTTTTCTATTTAATTTTCATTTATTATTCTATGTTTTGAGAAAAATAAATAAAACTTAAACACTTATGAGTAAATATATAGATATATATGTAACGTATGGTAGCTGAAATATCAGTGTAGCTTGCAAATATTGGTATTATAGTTAGATTTGTAATTTGTAGGGCTTCTAACTGTCTAAATTGAGGTAAAGTAAAAACAAATGATGCTGCATGAGAAACCTTACAACTTGTATTTATTCATAACATTTAGAAATGTACAGTAAAAGAAAGCAGTGTATATAAATGTATGTAAATATTTACTCACAATGTACATTCAAAAACTGAAACAAATGTACAGTTATACAAAGTTGTTCACATTATTGAACAGATTGTATATAACTGTTCAAGAATTTGAACAACTTTCAGAAAACACATGCAACAGAAACTATAAATGAATACCAATCTATATACATGTATTTCACTTAACTATATAGATATATTTACATTTTAGAAAATGCACATGACAGGAGGCATTATGCATACAAGTGTATATATAACAGAAAAAATACAAAAATATGCAAGTTATACAAATTGATATACAGAATTGTATACAAATGTTTGAGAATGAAGAACTTTCAGAAAATATATATGAAGCTCTGCACAGAAAAAAACTATAAAATGAAAGGAAGTATCATACATACAGGTGTATGAATAACAAAAGAAAACTTTACAAAAATATTTCAGGCAAAAACATTGTAAAAAGAAAACACTGTTGTATGTTCAAATACACTAAAAATACTAAGATGCTACAATCTAAGATACTTGTTAGTTTTTAGAGAAAAAGAAAGCCATTTGTTAGAGGAAAAGAAAGAGCAGACACCTTTATATGGTACATAAAGAATATTTTAGTGAAACAATCATAAACAGATTTATTTTGATTTTGTTATATCATGCAAAATAAATCAGCTGTGATAATTCAGCAGTTTTGGTTATGTACTAAGTTAAAGCTTAACTTCTTTGCAGAGTATCACAGAATGTACACTTTGTGAGTATCCTGTTGTTTGTAAGGCACAGTCTACATCTTTCTTTTTACCTTGTTTTGACAAGTATTGGATAATTCCTGTCAAGAATGAGTCTCAAAAGAGAGTCCTGTGCAAATGTTGTAATTGAAGCACCAGAAGGACTGGGTCTGCTCTCAAGTAGTGGCTCGACAAGAGAAATGACCAGCTCCCTGCTGAAGGACTTCTGTGATAATTCCAGCTGATTGGTCTTTCTCTTGTAGAAAATAAAAGCATTGACTATGGTCAAATCCAAAAGCCAGAAAAACAGTTTTTGTACCATTTTATTGACCTTTGTCCATTTGAATAGTAGTTGAGGAACTTTTCATAAACTTGTTATAGTCAACAATTAACTGAGGTTCTATAATCTCAGCATCTCTTCCTCTTCTCCTTATAGTTGTCAACTTGAAATCTCAATCAGAGAAGCATTTCTCAAGAGAGAACATCTTGTTTCTGTCTTCTTTGATCTTGAGAAGGCTTGCGACACTACATGGAGGTTTGACATTTTGTGGGACTTCCATTCATATGAGTTGTATGGCCATTTACCCATTTTTATTAATATCTTTTTTACTTGACAAGCAATTCCAAGTCTGTGTGGGTTTGTCCCTATCACATTCTTACACACAGGAACTTTTAGTCCCTCAAGGTTGTGTCTTGAGTGTCACCCTTTTCAGTATCAAGATCAACGCTATCACTAAACAACTTCATCCTACTGATGCAAATGGCCTCTATGTCGATGACTTCCATATTTCTTGTTAGTTGTTGAACATGACATTTAGACTGCCCTCACTTGCCTTTTGAAGTGGACCATAGCAAACGGTTTTACCTTCTCTTTCTCTGAAACCATTTGCATTCATTTTTGCCACCAACGGGGTTTACACTCTGATCTCAAGCTTCATCTTAGTGGTGTTGTTCTTCACGTGGTTCCTGAGGCAAAGTTCTTGGGATTTATTTTTGACTGTAAGCTTATATTTTTTTCTCACATCAAGCAGCTACTTGTCAAGTGTACAAGGGCACTGAAAATTCTCCATGTCTTCTCTTCCACTTCTTGGGGAGCAGGTCGAACCAAGCTGGACTATGGATCTACAGTTCTGCCAGGCCCTCTGCATTGAAGATGTTGGATCCTGTTCACCATCTTGAGCTTTTGCTCTGCACTGGGGCCTTCCATGCTTCGCCAGTCCAGAGTCTGTACTCTGAGTTCCATGAACCTCCTCTTCACCTCCAACATTTGCCACTTTCTTTACAGTGTGCGATCAAGCTTTGATCCTTACTACAGCATCCTACCTGGGGTTGTCTGCCATTTTTCCTTTTGGTCTTTGTATCCAGGCATGACTGGCTGAATTGGGTCTGTCATTTGATGATGCTGCTGAGTCTAATGATCGGCCCATCCCGCCATGGCTTGTTACCGTCCCCACCTCTGACATTTTCTCAAGTCATCTGAGGAAGGTGGATACTCCCGATTGGAAGTACCATCTTCTCTTTGCCGAATATCTTTCGAACTATTCTTCTTTTCTCATTTTCCTGGATGGTTCGAAATCAGATGACTCAGTGGACTCTGCAATGGTGTGTTTTGACTCTGTGGTTGCTCACAGGATCCCCTATGCAGTTTTTATATTTGCTGCCGAGTTGTATACCATTTCTCTTGCCTAAGCAGTACACTGACTGTACTGTTTAAACCAAATCTCTTAGCTGTCTACTGGCCCAGTAATTGTTTAATATTAGTTCTCACCTTGTTCTCCTCAATGTTCAAAAATGACTGGCCTATATTACTTTATTTTCCATTTCTATCCAGTTTTTCTGGACACCTGGCTATGTCAGTATTTGCAGGAACAAATTGCTGACACCACAACTAAGTCTGTCTATTGTGGTGCAGTCACAGCTGTGCCTGTTGTCCCAGATATGTCCTGTGTTCAAGGCTCGGCTTTGTGCCAATTGGCAGTCGATTTGGAGTGAGCAATGTCATAACAAGTTTTTCAATTTCAAATCTTCTGTTGTTCTTTAGCCATCTTGTTTTCGTAAAGATCGAAAGGAGGAAGTTGTCTTGGCTAGGCTACGCATTGGTTACAGTTTTTTAATTCATTTGGGACTGATCCACCAATGTGTAGTCTTTGTGACACTCAAGTCACAATAGCCCACGTTTTACTGCCATGTTGTCGTTACAACTGTGAGTGGTGGCACCATTTTTGACGTGCACTTTCTACGGGTTTACCCCTGACGTTCGATGGTGTCATTTGTGATGGCGAAACTGTCAAACTTGATTGTGTTTTTAAATTGTGGGCCATTGGCCTTTTTTATTCTATTTAAGATTTTTTTTTACCCATTTTGGGCAGTGTTTGGTTTTTTTAGCTTGTTTTCTTTTTAGTCTTTGTAGTATTTTACTTATTATTTTTTACCATTTGTTTGGTGCAGATAGCCCCAAACAACCAACCAAGTTTCCCTAAATGCATTGTTTTTATTCATAAGTATGTGCATTGTGCTAACTTAGTAAGATGATTATCTGATAAGTGTTGTCTTCATCTTGTAATTTTCCTATGTTTGTTGGTTTGATTTTGCAATTACTTAATTGTGGCTTTTTACTATGTACTTCCATACATTTATTTGTGACATGCAGTAAGTCATATGAATTAAGAATTTA